ACAGCTTGAGGCTCTTTCAAAATAAAATTTAGCTGGGTGTTGTCACGGGTGCCTGTAGTCCCAGCTACTTGGGAGGCTGAGGCAAAAGGATTGCTTGAGCCCAGGAGTTTGAGGTTGCTGTGAGAGCTGTGATGACACCACAGCTCTCTAGCCAGGGAAACAGAGAATCTGTCTCACAAAAAAAGGGGGGGATTCTATATATACCTACACATATATACACACAAATACATATTTATATATATACACCTATATATACACAAATATACATATATGTATACACATATATACAAAATATATATATATATATAAAATCTGTAATACATGTATGACCAAAGAGGAAAACAGTCCACAGACTGAAATAGAGCTCACTTCTTGAGTGTGGTTATTGTCACCAGCAGTAATAAAGGACCAGCAAACAAACACAGATTGAGATGCCAGACTCAGCTACTCTCAAAGGCAAAAATAGGGCCAGGCACAGTGGCTCACAACTGTAATCCTAGTACTCTAGAAGGCCAAAGCGGGTGGGATCGCCTGAGCAGGAGTGACTATCTCTACTAAAAACAGAAAAATCATCAAGGCATTGTGGTGGGTGTCAGCAGTCCCAGCTACTCAGGAGGCTGTGGCAGGAGGGTTACCTGGACCTGGGAGTTTGAGGTGGCTGTGAGCTAGGCTGACACCATGGCACTCTAGCCTGGACAATAGAGTGAGACTCTTATCTATAAATAAATAAATAAACGCAAAATTAGGGTGGAAGTTTAGACTAATTACTGGCTCCAAAAAAATTGCCTTTGGCATAATGAAAAATCTTTAAAGCCTATGAAAACATTGTTAAGCCTATGAAATAAAATCTACATTGAGAAAAATTTACGACTATCAGTTGAAGAAAATCATAGCTACATATATAAAACTCTAGACTTCAGGTAAGTCCTAAATTAATTTCTTCAAATTTCCTTTGTTATAAATGATATAGCCCTGGATTCTTTGGGAGTTGCTCAAATTTCCTTATTTTCTGTCCTTTAAAATGAGTGAATCATATTAATCATTTAGGTGACAACTACTTGCACACTTAGTGGGGCAAAACCCAATTGAGAGAATGAACCATGTCTCTATGTAAATACCACCAATCCCTGTTTAGGAGTCTAGCTGCTACAAAAAATCTACAGTGAGAGCTGAAAACTAGGGAACAGGTTGACAAAGGTACTGAACTCCTCATGACCTTTCACATAAATACATGTATCTTTCATAAGGAAAAATATAAATGCCAAAATCCAATTTGCCTCTTCACAAATACAAAAATCACATTGGCAACTAAGCATTAGCTCTTAGTATCTTTATTGATGCGCTGTCATTCTCTACACTACATCCAAACTCCAACAGGCTTTCTTCCTAGTTTTTCCTTGTATAAATGAGAATGCTAGGCATTTAGATATTAGGGGTACCTATGCCAGTTATTAATTTAAAACAAGTATTTTGCAGCACATGGATAATACTTCTCAGTAAATATTCTAAGCTTGGGAGATGGGTTAAGTAAAACACTTTCACGAAAGGCTAATTTTGCATTGAGATTTCTCTATCAATTTTGCTATAAGTTGATCATTAAATCATCTTGCCATACTGTCACCTATCAAGGTGTATTAGGAGGAAGAGTCCCAAAAGCTCAGTGTGACTCCATATATTGTATATTACTCAGCAACACAAATTACCTGTCAATGAAATTGGCTTGATGGCTACATGCTATATGGTACAAACAGGCAAAATCCTTGTAATTACTAATGCCTTTATCATTTAGCCAGTATTTTTGAGCACAAATTACGTGCCAATCACTGCATTTGAGTGCACTTTTTAGGCTTCTACTTTCAAACTTTTCTCTAATATCAAATATTTATTGAAATCAGTTTGATATAGAGAAATTTATAATGAAAGGGAAGTTGAGGAGTCTAGGGCCCTACAATTGACTATAATCATTGTAGCAGCATCTCTGGGTATACTTTGTCTCTTAAGGTCTCTTTCAACCTAATTAATTCTACAATTATCTCAAAACCACTTTACGAACTACTCTTTCACCAACTGTTCAGATGTGCAACAAAAAAATAAGACTGTCATGTGTTTAATTTTCACTAAGATTTTAACATGTTACTACACACAGAAGATTTTTTCCTATTGCCAAACATAAGATTGGTCATGGTAGGAAAAAATCTGATTAAGTAGCATTAATATCAGGTAAGTACTGCACAGTTAAATTTTAAAAAGTTTAATTAGCTTAACAGATTTCAGCTAATTTTCTTCTTTAACTCAAACTTCAGACAGTTATCCCATAGACTAAATTCTGAAGTACCTTTAATTTTCTTATCTAACCACACATCCAATAATGTAATCTCCTACACCAGCTTCCAAACACTGGTCTGTGATGATGTACAATAAAAAAGAAAAAAGAGCTCAAGTAGCTTTTTTCATGAAGCTAAACTTGATGTCTTAATTTTAAATCTTCTAAATTATGTCATTTTTAGTGTCAAAATATCCTTTCAAGTATTTATACATTTTCTCTTTACTAAGCAAAACAAAATTACGATGATCCTAGCACTTAACAACTCTGAAATTTTAGTTGTTTAGTCAATATTTAGAATGTTTAGAATTTTTAGTCAATATTGCCTTTGCCATAGTGATTGTCAAATAATCTCCTTCACTCTCCAGATTATAGATTATTACCAGTGGTAGGAGATTCAATTTCTTCTGAAGTAACCCCATGTTATCTTTGACTAATTCAAAACTGTTTTTTAATCTTAAGCCAAGTTAGCCTGGTGTGGTAGCTCAGGCCTATAGTCCTAGCATTCCAGAAAGCTAAGGTGGGAGACTGCTTGAGCTCAGGAGTTTGACATCAGTTTGAGCAAGAGTGAAGACTCTCCACCTTCACTAAAAATAGACAAATTAGGCTCAGTGCCTGTAGCTCAAGCAGCTAAGGTGCTGGCCACATACACCAGAGCTGGCGGGTTCCAATCCAGCCTGGGCTTGCCAAACAATTACATCCAAAAAATGGCTGGGCGTTGTAGCTGGCGCCTGTAGTGTCAGCTTCTTGGGAGGCTAAGGCAAGAGAATTGCTTAAGCCCAGCAGTTGGAGGTTGCTGTGAGCTGTTGATTCCACAGCACTCTAACCAGGGTGACAGCTTAAGGATGTCTCACAAAAAAAAAAAAAATTAAAAATAATAAAAATAGACAAATTAGCTAGGTGTTTTTCGCAGGCACAGCAGGATCACTTGAATCCAGGAAGTTGCTGCGCTAGCCCACGCAATAGAGAGACTGTCTTAAAAAAAAAAGAAATGAAGTCTTGGCTCAGTGCCTGTGGCTCAAGAGGCTAAGGCGCCAACCACATACACCTAAGGTGGCGGGTTCGAATCCCCAGCCTGGGCCCGCCAAACAACAATGATGGCTGCAACCAAAAAATGGCCAGGG